CGTGTAGGATCGAGTGTTCGAAATTCGGATCGATCTCATCATCCGAGCCACAAAAGGGTTTCATATGGAAATAATGATCAGTTAATCGAATTTACGGGGGGGAAATTTTTTTTGCATATTTTCGTGTATAAACACTTGATTCATTAATCCAAAATCAGGTGAGGCAAAACAACTTCCTGATTCAGATTTAAATATCTATTCGGAGATATTTATTCATCCAAACTTTTTGTATCTTTTTAAAAATATATTTTCGGATTAGAAAAAAAAAACACTTGATTCATTAAGTTTTTTTTGGTAAAAAAAAAACAGACAATGGACGTATTGTAAAAACATTCTTGGGACATTTTACGTTATGCGTGCCATGTGGCACGTGGGGTTTATCATGGAATAACACCCGGATTTCCACGAAAAATATCTAAATTTTCCATTTTAAAACCTTATCTAAACATCATCAAATTCATTTAATTGCAAAACAAGAAATGGGAAAAAACTGTTTTAAAATCCTTAAAAGAATTTCAACTAAGTTCCATGTCTTTTCCCCTTTATAAGAAACAAATATCCGTTATTGGGAGGAATTTATTTGAGTTCCTTTTTTTTTTAAAGGAAAAATGTTTTTGCTTTTCGATTTTGGTCGGACGTGCTTTATTTAAGCGAAGACAGTCCACTGTGGTTGATCTCTATCCACAATCGCTGATTAGACCCCATCAAGAAAGAAGAAAGAAAAGAACGGAGAGCGACGACGACGAAGATCGCTAGATCCTTCATGGGACTTCAATGGCGATTTCTCTTCTCCTTTTCTTGACCCTTCTCCGATTACCCATTACTGGTCTTCACCTCCTCCTCATCTTCCTCCATTCCCTCTTATAACTCTCTCTCTTCCCTCAAATCCCAGATTTCCATTTCCCTCGTCGTCGGATTTTCCGAGAAAATTTTTCCAGTACCCATTTCTGGAATCTCGCCGATCAGAGGAAAAAGGAGGGTTTTTTTTTTCTTCTTCTGGGCTTTGTTTTGTTTGCTCAGCAGGACCTCGGGGAATTTTTGTCTTTTTCGAGCAATCAATCTCCATCGGGTTTTTGAATCGGTGGGTGTTATTTCGATTTTTCTTTTGTGGGTTTTCTGAAGATATGGCGTCTGTGTTCTTGTATCACGTGGTGGGGGATCTGACGGTGGGGAAACCGGAGATGGTGGAGTTCTACGAGACGGAGACGGTGGAATCGGCGATTAGGGCAATCGGAGAGTCGACGGAGTGTGGAATTCCTGTCTGGAAGAAGAGATCTTCGCCGCAATCGCTTCCTGGGTTCGTGGAGAACAGCGAGATGAGGCAACAGAGATTCGTGGGAATCCTGAATTCTCTTGACATAGTCGCGTTCTTGGCTAGGAGTGAGTGTTTGCAGGATCATGAGAGGGCTATGAAGATGCCTGTCTCCGAGGTTGTCAGGCCCAATAATACTCTCCTCAGGCAGGTTGATACTGGGACAAGGTCAGTTCTCTTATCTTTCCTTGTTGTGTTCGTTCTTTGAGCTGAATTTGGGATCAAGATCTGCTTGCTATGATACAAACTTGATCACTTGATGGAACTTTTGTACTTGATCATCCCCCTGATTCCATTAAAACACCAGTTTTACTTGATCGTGATGTTTCTGGCACTTTTTTTTATCCTGAAGAAAGCCACTCAGAGTTTTTGTTTCTTGAATGGTTTCTCAGATATTCCTTTTAATTCGATTTGGGTCTCTAGAGATTAGTCTTAGTTTTGGTCCTTGCATCTGTTTCCGAGGTTTGTCTTCTTTATCAAAGTAACACAGCTTATGTACTCGCATTCTGATTTAGTTGTCTCGTTGTAGAATTGCATGTAGAGCTTATTCTTTCAAGTCAGAGACTCGTGATCTGAAGAAAGGCAAGTGTCAATCCTCATTCTAGCTGAAGTTCTTTGCTTTCTCGAACTTGAAAATGAAAGAAGGATGACTTAGAAAGGTTTGGATCTTGTCGAGAAACACATACTTGTAGTCCATGTGCATAGATTCCCTCGTAATGCTACAAGTCTACTCATTTATTCATGGAAAGTGGGGCCTCTTTATCATTTTATAATTATAAAATAGCTTTGGGCATCAATCAAATCACCAACCTTGGATGAAGAAATCCAGTATGCAATGATGTTTATGCCTTGTTTCTTTGTGAAATGCTTTTCCAGAAATGTATTGCTGCAAACTTTTGAATCCAAACTATTGAAAGTAGAATAGTTGAAAGTGCTAAGATCTTTTAGACCTTTTTCAACTCCCTTTTGTGTTTAGATATTCTTTAAAGAACTATGTTTTTATTTTGTAGTTTGTTTCCTTAACATGACCTTTTTCAGAAAAGGTTTGAGTGTGTTTCAAGGCCTTTTTTCTTTTTTCCTTCCTTATTTGTTTAGTGAACGCTTCATCATGCTTCCTATTCAACAAAAAAGATATAACTTTATATCATCTAATGGTGAGAAAAGGAGAAAAAAAGGAACATGGAAGAGATGAATTTAGTGAATCTTTTCTTAGGATCCATGGTTTTTTTAGCACTTTTGTTACATCAGAGAATTACCTTGTCTAGCTTCTTAACAAAAGTTTCTCTCTCTTCTTCTCCTTGTCATATTGTATGTTTAACCATAAGAAGCAGTTATTGGAAATTAGATCATTATTAGTACCTGAAATTATCTTTAGAGATATATAATGCATTTAAAGAAAGTTGTCTTCTAGTGGCATGCTGAGATAGTGAGGGGAGAATAAGGGTTCTTTATTCATTGCAATGCAACCAAGTGAAAGTGAAAGCTCACCCACTTGAACATAATATGATAAAAGTGAGTTACATACAGAGCAATATATGTCTCACTTCTGTTGCAAAAATACTACATAGGCAGCCCGCTGGCAGTGACATTTTCCAGCGATGCCGGAATTTTTTAGTGATTTTCTTCCTCAAGGAGCTGTCCTTTTTTCTACAAATCCGTATACATGTTCGTTAAGCATCTTATATCGGCCTTTTCTTCTGTTCCTTTTGAGGGCTTCAAAATATCTTCATTACTCTTCTATCTGTTTGTTGTAATCATATTTTCAGATCTGTGTTCTGTGTCTTTTCATCCAAATGCAAGCTGTTTTTGCTTTAGAAAAACTTTCTTGGGGAGAAACATATGGCATCAGATGAAATAGTTCCATATACTGTTATTTGTAGGCACTTGACTGGTAGGAACACTTGCTATTGCCAAACTGTATATGGAAAGTTGTATAAAAACGGTTTTTTAGATCTCTGAGATATCTCATTGCCACCATTATGTACCTCTTTCTTCTTCTTTGCCCATGCAGATGAATCGGGAAAGATTGGTTACGTTTCTCTAGCTTGAATAAAATGAAAGACTAGTAGTCGATATACATTTTCAGTTGTCCTGGTAATATCGTTTGGAATGTTTCCCCTCAAACTACAGTAACAGCTATCTTCTTGACTCATGTGTGACTGTGAGTCTATAAAAGTCACATAACATAAGCCTTGCTCTTAGTGAATATGAATGTTGTGCTTTCAGTTTTCACTACAAAGACCTTGTTCCGTCCCGTTGTGAAGTGAGGGCTCGTACTTTTGCTGTCATAAATTCGAGATGTTTTTTGGTGTCGGTGTATTCTGTATCTATGTTTACTAGTTGTATCTATTTTTAATATATTCTTGTGGTGACGATAATTGTAAATGTCGGGTTTTATAATGCAAGACTGGTAGATGCACTGGAGATGATGAAGCAAGGAGTGAGACGGCTTCTGGTTCCGAAAAGCGTCGTGTGGAGAGGTATGAGCAAGAGATTCTCCTTTCTTTACAATGGCAATTGGTTGAAGAACATGGATAATTCTAGTAGCAGCAACAGTAATCTCTCCTTGGCCATGGCTTCAATCCCGGACAAGTTTTGTTGTCTCTCGAGGGAAGACGTGATTCGCTTCCTTATCGGTTGTCTTGGAGCATTAGCTCCGTTACCGCTCACATCAATCTCTTCTCTTGGAGCCATCAATCTCAACTTCAACTCCATTGAAGCTTCTCTTCCAGCAATGGAAGCCACACTTATTCCGCTCGTTGACCCGAGTGCTGTCGCCGTCGTGGAGACCGGTGCAAACGATCAATGCAAGATTATAGGTGAGATCTCGGCTTCGAAACTCTGGAAATGCGATTATCTGGGCGCTGCTTGGGCACTAGCCAACCTTTCTGCAGGAGAATTCATCACAAGATCCGAGGAAAACATGTCGTCCAGATCATTCAGCGACTATTTCCGGGATTCATCAACCGGAGAAAACGATGATGCGGCCAAAGGAGGAGATGGGTCGACAATGAGGACGAGGAAATTCAGCAGCAGGAGCATCGGGTTTAACCCGACCAGCCCAAAGTCTTTGAATCCAGGGAGGAGCATGTACAGGGGAAGAAGCTCGCCATTAACGTGCAAAACCTCGAGTTCTTTAGCCGCGGTCATGGCTCAGATGCTTTCGCACAGGGCCACGCATGTCTGGGTCACTGAAGAGGAAGAGAACGATGTTCTGATCGGAGTCGTTGGCTATGGCGATATCTTGGGCGCTGTAACTATGGCTCCTTCTGCTTTGGTTACTCCTTCGAATCGATCTTACGAAGGTTTTGGTAATGAAACTCAGAATTCATAGTCTGTCTTCTTGTGTGTTCTGTTCTGTTCTGTTCTTGAGGGATTGTGCTTTGAGATGAATTCATGCTAAAGGACATAATAAAGGCTGATACTTTGGTGTTATATATATATTGTTTTGTACTGAATTTAAAAATAAACGGTTCGAATCTATTAGATGATTATTTTGTATTGTCCGTTTTCTATTGAAAATATATATTGTTTATTAGATATTTATCTTGATTTATTCCGTGTACAAAATTGTTTTGGGTTTTATTGGTTTAGTAGTCGTTTTTTAAGTTAGTAACGGTAAATTTTCAAATCATATGTATATAATTTAATTATTATGTTCATTATTTATTCATATAAAATAATTATTTATATGTAATGGATTTTTAGGTATTATTAAATTCAATTCACTCTTATGTAATTACCACCGTTTCATTTGAATTTTTGGCACGAGGAATGATTAAATTTGCAAACATTGAATCCTCCCTCTCTCTCTACATATATATATATATATATATATATATATGTTTTTGACTCTTTTATATTGAAAAGGTGAATTTAATGAGTTAATAAATATACATAATATTATTTGAGTGTTATTAATATCTGTCTTTGACGTCTATAGTTTCATGATCTCATTTTATCCATCATTGTGTAGTGAAAAAAAAATAGATGCATTGTATTAAAATGTCAAAGCCATGAATCAAACATATACTATATAATTACATTAATATTTGAGTTTTCAGTTAAACTAAATTGAACATTAATCTTAAAATTCCATAATATTTCCTACATAAATTAGAATATCTTTTGTTTATATGTACCGATATTTATTCATTGTGCATTTATAGCTACATCTAACCAATAAAAGAAGAAGAAAAAGATATGCACATTTACGTCTGTCGGCGAATGCTGCTGGCATATCACAAAAAAAAATGTATAAAATAAAAATCAAATATAACACTCGACTGTCATTTTTATTCAAATTTTCTGTTATAAAAAATCATATATTGTTTTATTTGGTTCCCCTTCATCTAATAAAAAAAACAAAACAATCAATCCCAACACTAACCGCAAATAAACGTGAATTCATTTTTTCTCTTGTTGAAAAAAGTTTTTCTTTAAGCTTTGTTTTTTTATTAGTTTCATGCAATATTAAACACCAAAGTTATAATATATAACAAATCATATATATATATATATATAACTCACAATTGTACATATGATTTCCACTAAATCAAGAAAGAGTCCAAAAATGGAAATTAGAATAAAATAATTTATAATATCTACAACAACATTTTTATAAAACTAATTAAGTAATATTTCCGAGAAGGGGATTAAATGCTCAACAGTCCCACCTACCCGATGCAAGTGGAGCCAAAATCTTATTCATTACAATCTAACTTCTCTTTAGCCCCATTCATCACATGGCTTCATGAGAAACTATATCTACAAACTCTTTTTTTTTTTTTTTTATAATTGTGACACACACACACATATATATATATATAGAGAGAGAGAGAGACTAATAAAAATACTATATAATATGATACTAAATCATAATTTATGTATATGATAGATCATACCACAAGAAAAAAAAAAGAAAGAAACATGAAGTAACACATCATGGTAGTGTAAGTATGCAATATAAAAGAAAACTCTTTATAAAGGATTGCCTTATAAAATTGAAGAAGATACAATAAAGCACAATATTTTGCAAAATTTGGTTTCTGTTTTCTTGATTTTTTCCGTTGTAATAATGTCTTAAAAATGATATAAACAGAAGTAAGGATTAGAAATAAAAAATAACGAGATGAATATCTGTTTATCTTAAATTTATTAGGATCACATTTTAATACAAATCAACGATAAGTAACGTAATATATTATATTTAAGTGCGTACACTATTATATTAGTTTATTTTTTTTAATATCCAAATCAAAATTTCCAGCTTTAAATAAAAATGAATTTAAGACATATCACCATTTTGAAAATTTTAGATTTGTTTGGTACATTTAAAAAAAAAATCATCTTTTATTTTTTAAGCCAATATTTTTCACTAAAAGTTTTAAACAATTTCCCCCCACTTTCTGCACAACTAAAAAGATTTAGCAATGAAAAGAAAGATTTAGCTGATAAGGTCATGGCTTCCTTGTGTGAACACTCTAAAAAGTGGTCAAAACTCCAACACTAACATATGACTCCAAAAACTTTTTTCAACAAACACAAATTATATGAATTATGAGCACAAAGAACATAATAATATTACTCCAAAAATAATATCCATTTGGAAGTGAAATCTGAATAGACCACAACCAAGCTATTTGCCCATTTGCAGCCTACATTAATGCCAATGATCCATTCAATAAAGAATGGTTGTTGTTTTTTATTTATTTATTATATTATGTTTTAAAATAAAACAAGCACTTAAAGATCTGACAAGCACTAACATTCACTAAACAGCACTCTAAAACAGCTTCATTGCCATAATGATGTTCTTCACATTGACCATTAACAAAAAAAAAAATTGGTATAATTTATTAAACCCATCTTTAAAAATATGCTAAAACCTTAGTCATAATGCCACTATTACCACCGCTTTCTCACAACAATGGAACATTTAAAACGGAAAACAGATGGATTGAGGAGAAACCACGCCTGAAGATCCCAGTTTGGGCTTGGGACAGCCAGCTAAAAAACCCTAAAAAAATATTCAGAATGGCAGTGTGAAGGATTAATAATTGGGATGAAGATGATAACCAGCAGACAAGTGATCTATAAGGGACTTTAAATAAATTTATAAACAGAACAAGATAAGGGAAAAAGAGGAGAAAACAAATCATGAGCAGATATTCCTTTCTTCCCTTTCACCCTTCCAGAGGAACCAAGACCTTTGCCCTTGCCCTGAATCAGAACCAAACACCAAGAAATTATAGGGGGAAAAAAAGAGAAGGAGAGGGAAATCAAGATCACCATGAACAGAAGCAAGATCTCAGAGATGGCAGCCAAAGCAGTTGCAGGCTTTAGGGATGAAGGAGCAGTAACCAAAGGGCCTGTTTGGGATGTTGCAATTGATGGCATAGCAACAAGGTGAAGGTAGACAAAGTCCCTTAGAACCTCCGCAGCAAGTACACACTGAGCATATCTGAAAACTCCCAAGCTTCCTTCTTGTCTCATTCATCAACACAAACTTCTCCTCCATCAACGGCACCATCTCTCTCTCTTCAGATGATGACCCATTTGCCTTTTGTTCCATAAAATTTGCATTAAGAGCCCAAAAAGGCAAAACACTGGGGAAAAAAATAGAATCTTGCACAATGGAAACAGTGAATGTTCAAGAACTGGAGCATGACCTAAGGGCTTTTTCTTCAAAATGAGAAAAAAAGGGACAAGCTTTGAAATCAGATTAATATGTTCAGTCCAAACCCAGGTTGCATTACGCCTTTTATCTAACAAAATCAGAATGCCCAGATGAAAAATCAGAGAAATTCTAGAAGGAGAAGCGAAGGGATCCAAGCAGAGAAGCCAAATTGAGCATGAGAAGAGCAAAGCAAACGGTGAGAGGGGTGAAACACAAACCTGGATTCCAGAATTTGCTTGACTGAAACTGATGAAACTTGAGAAGACAAGCAGTAAAATGATTGGGATCCTGAATTTTTCTAAAGCTCTCATCTTTTTCATTCTCTCTCTCTCTCTGAAAATTTGTGGGGTTTATGTGCTGGAGATTTTGGTGAAGTAGCTTGCGTTAGTGAAGGGCCCTTTTCCCTTCTTCTTCACCTCCTTCCTCCCACTTCTCTCTGTATTTCTATTTTCCAATCATATACAATTTTTCTTTTTATAATTGAAGAAAAATGCTTTTTGGAGATTGACTGAGATTATGGGCTGAGTTAAAAATGTAAAAAGTGAAGAGTGGGCGTTTCGGCCATGCGGAAATTTAGGATCTTTTATTAATGATATTATTATGGATTTTATTTTGTGACATTGTTACAAAATAAAAATTAAAAATTTCAAGTTCGTGAAAAAAAAAATTCACAAAGAAATGGATTTTAGGGATCTTTAACTGTAAATTTAAAATATACATTAAAATGGTAATATTTGTTTCATAGAGAAGTTTTTGTGAAATTCTTATGGTGAAAAAATTGTGACATTGTTACAAGATAAAAATAAAAAATTCCACGTTCTTGGAAAAAATAAATGAAATTCACAAAGAAAATGGAAATATTTGTTTCGTAGGGAAATAAATATTATGGGAGTTTAATTCTTCTAAAATTAAAATAAACAAAAAAAAAATGGTGATATGCGATGATGTGATACTGACTCATACTTTATACTTAACTAGTCGTTTGAGATGTGATTTGAATGGATACTTTATTCTTAAAAAAGAATAAAACATATTAAATGGAACTAATGATAGATTAACATCAACCAATATTTGATTAAATAGTTGCGGATACGCTTAGAACCAATCTTCATATTCGGATGCTGAGTATTGGTACTTCATTTTCTTCTTTTTGTTCCTTTCTAGAGATTAGATTTTTTCTCTAGCAACTGATAAAATACTCTAATTCTTGGCGAATCCAACTACAATATCGAATTTAAATTTGAATAGTGGTGGATAAACAATTTTTATATTTATTTAGAAATTTTATAGTTTAGATATTTACCGTAAAAATTTAAATATTTATAAATAATTTTTCTTATTTATATTGGATTTGGATATGTTAAATATTTTGTCGATATTTACATCAAACATAACCAAGATTACACACCCAAAGAAAAAAACAAAAGGGTTGGATTGCATAGTAAGTTGACTATTTTGGGACATTTTTTCTCAAGCATATACAGTTAATCTTCGATTTAAGGAAAAAGGCAGAGCCTTTAAGAAACATATGAAGCATCATCATCATCATCATCATCATCATCATCATCATCATCATCATCATGTTTCCATGTTGTGAATGCCCCATTCTATTAACTTAGCTTCTGCGTCTCCATTGCTTTTTCAACCATCCAAGAAGCTTTCTTTTATCGTCTTCTCTTCTCCTCGGACATGCTCACAGAAGTTAGCTTTCCGGTCTTGCCTTCATGATTCAGAAAAGGGTAGAGTTACAAAAGATATCTGAAACCCGAAAAAGGGTCAGCGAAAGTTAACCTCGGACAAATCTATAAAACGAAACAGCCTTAATTGTCTACCGACGTTCCCAAATGCTTTTCCAGCACATGCATTCATCATATTCCGAGATTTTAAGCTTGTTTTACTACCAGTTCCTCTGGAATATGGATCAGTAAGCAGAGAGCCATGTTTCATTCATGTAATCACTTTCTCGTAGTAGGATCAGATTCTGCAAGGTGAATAGAAAACTATAGTGAAAGAATCTATACTGAAAAGCACTACCTTTTTTATTTAAGAAGGATCAGATTCTGATAGTGATTGAGAGGCTCGGGCGAGAAAAGGTTTTTTTTTTGAGTAATCGGGTGTTCTAAACCGAGGTCCATGAAAATAAAGAATGGGGACTCACTGTACCGGTAAACAGTTAACGCCTTTTGCCAAGAACCATCACAGCACTTTGCAACAGTCGTCTCTGCTTTCCTATCAGCCTTATTTCTCATCGAACAAATGGCATCTTCTTCTGGAAATCTTAGCTATTCTTAGGAGAAGCGTCGGTTTGGGAATTCATAAGAGCAGTGGTTTTGTGAAGGGTTTAGATTCCAAAGATTACCAGTTGCAGGCCAGAGCCTACCATTTCCTTGAATATTTCAGGCCCCTGCATATCAAAATTTGACTGCTTAATCGAACTAAATAAGGACTACAGAAGAGTTGATAGAAACAAAGAGTTAGACTTGTAATGCAGCCACTTCAGAGATTCTTCATTTCAATCTGAAAAGGAGCAATAAACAATTGTGAAACATGAAGATATTTCAGCTGAGAAACAAAAGAGAACCGAAAACTAGAAAGAAAGCAAGATAGGAAACTCAACCTGCTGAGCATATAAGCATACTCATGTTATACTCTTCATTTCATTCTACAAAACTTGTCGATAATGGTGCTGTATATATGCATATCCATATCCATACCCAAACCCATCTCTCTCACCTCTTCTACAATCACACTGAATCCTTTTTTCACAACACCATTGTCTCTATATATCCCTAAGACAGCCCAACTGCAATCTTTTCTTCTTCATCTCATTTACCACTCGCCATTAATCCTCCAATCTCCCATAGAATCTCGTCAGTCTGCTGATTCTTCCCAACATTTTCCTCCTCCATATTACCCAAAACCCTAACAGCAAGCTCTAACCGACATTTTCTCGAACACCCTTTCAGCAATACATTGGAAAAACCTCACCTTCAACCTCGTATTGTTCCCATGGAGCTTGAATCGAGCCGCTTCTTGGAACAGAGCATCAGCCTCGAGTGTCGGGCCGAGACAAGCGAGAGCTTCCCAGAATTGTTTCATTAATTTATTTAATACTCGGTCTTGTAAATTGTAATATTTTCTTACTTTGTTCCTTTTTGACGTAATAAGCTAAAGCGCGTGGCGAACACCACACGTCTTCGTTTATTTTTTTCCTGGGAAATTAGCAATTTTTTTTTTTGTTTCTTTAAATTATTTTCTGTGTAATGGAGTGTTTCCATCTCCAGTAAAAGCTTCAGTTTTTCTCATTCAGGAGAAAAGCTTGGTCCTTTCAAATTCTTGGAGATCCTCGTAGCTTTGAGGATCTCTCGGTCTCTCTTGCCAGAGATTCTTCCACATGGTTCTCTGAATCGTACCCCTTTTTCTCAGATCCCAGGATCCCATTTTTCTCAGATTCACTATCCGTTCTCACATTTTCCCGAAAAAATTTCTGGGTTTTGGACTTTCTCTCACGCCAAACAGGGAGAAGGGCTAGCACCAGATCTGAACTCTCGCCTCACTAATGGGTTTGCTGCGAAACCCTAGGTGTTTTCTTCCCCGCCTGCTCATCCTCTCCGCCTTCTTCTGCTTCGTCTTCGTCTCTGCGCAGGTATTTTTTCCTCTCCGTCGATTGATCCTCCATGGACGCGTCTCTCGAAAACGTGTTAAATTATTTAGATTTACTTTGTTGTTCTCCTAGGAATCGGGGGTTGAAAATGAGAGGCGAGAATCGGGAGGATCTGCGCTGGAGCTGGGTCGTCGCGGCATGGTAAATTGGTTCGATCTAGTTTTCTAAATTCAGAACTGAGAATTTCATACTTGAAGATGAATCAAGCTACGATCTTGATGTAGACTCTTATATTCGGATCCGGATTGTGCTCATATATGGTTCACTTATTTCCAGATCGGTGCCGACAAACTAGGACTTGATGCTGTTGGAGATAATGTCAATGTCAATTCTCTTGGTCTGAATCTGGACCTTGAATCCACTGGCCCTGGTGTTTTTGATGCCCTCTTCGCCAGTTTCTCCATGATTGTCGTGAGCGAGGTTACTCATCTTGCTTTTGGGAAACCACATCATTTCCAAGCTTAGCTCTTGTGGTATGCTTTCCAGATCATTATCATGATTTTTATTACATTCTAATTTGCTTGGCAGATTGGGGATGAAACCTTTATAATTGCGGCACTTATGGCTATGCGACACCCGAAATCCATCGTCCTATCGGGTGCACTCTCTGCTTTAGTTGTCATGACAGTAAGTGTAAAGTTTTCGTCTTTAGTCTGCAGTCTGTCAATATTTCCCGACAGTCTAATGTTTCTTAAACTGTCACTTAGGTACTTTCAACTGGACTTGGTAGGATTGTGCCAAACTTGATATCGAGGAAGCACACTAACAGTGCAGCAACAAGTGTGTAGTTATCTCTCTTTTTTCATACTTGTTAATTGAAGTATAAGCTCTGCTTTGGTGGCTCCTAAGTCGAGTTTTTGATTTGATCGATAAAGCATCTCACTTTCTTTGGACATGCAGTTCTCTATGCGTTTTTCGGGTTACGGTTACTTTACATAGCTTGGAAGTCGGATCCAAAGGCGTCTCAGAAGAAGGAAATGGAGGAGGTGTGCTATTAGTTGTTTGCTTTTACAGTGACTGAGATATGAATTTCTTGTTAGTTCCAACAGTCAGATTGGGACCAACCGTCCAAAGTTAAAAAAAGGACATCCTTTCCTTTCTAAGTTAAAGTTTGACGCATTGCTCAAATGTCTGTGGAAGCTGCTCGGTCTGTTCGTTTGGTTTTGAGTCTTCAACTCGGGTAGATTGACGAATTGGAATTATGCATTCATATACCCGTGATTTTTTTAGAGTAAAAAGATTGGACCTTTACTGGTATCTACTCGTGTAATTTTCGTGTTCATTCATTTCGGTTGGCTTCTTGATTAAAGGTCGAAGAGAAACTCGAAGCAGGGCAAGGGAAGACAGCCTTTCGCCGCTTCTTCTCTAGATTTTGTACCCCGATATTTCTAGAGGTATGATTCAACCGCTTTTATGGGTTCTTATCTTTTTATATACGAAGCTTCCTAGAGAGGAGGAGCCCTTTAACGAAATAATAATCGGGTAATAAACTGATCAGAGTTGAGCAGCTTATTCTAGGCACTCTCGGCGTATTTACCGTGGCAAAGATATATTGCTGAAACTTTCTTTTTGTTTCCTTCGTGTACAGTCATTCATCTTAACCTTTCTAGCTGAATGGGGTGACCGCAGCCAGATTGCGACAATCGCTGTAAGAGAAAGAGAGTCATTTCACTTCCAGTAGCGAGTTTTATCCGATCCGTCGACAAAAATATCTGTGGGGCGGAAGAGTTTTTTGACGAAACGGGAAACCTGTTAATGTGCAGCTAGCGACCCACAAGAACGCGGTGGGAGTTGCGGTGGGAGCGACGATAGGACACACAATCTGCACGTCGGTAGCGGTGGTAGGAGGAAGCATGTTGGCCTCGAAGATCTCCCAACGGACCGTGGCTACCGTCGGGGGATTGCTCTTTCTTGGGTTTTCGCTCTCGTCCTACTTCTATCCGCCTCTATAGCTGCTACCGACTACTTGCACTGAACGGGTCTTGATCAAGTAGTTTTATGTATTTTGTTTTTGTTCTGTCTTTACTCTTTGTAAGAAATGGTTGAGAGGATTAACTGCAGAAATGGAAGCAATGTCCTAAGTACAATATATAATCTTTTGAAGCAAATGTTGAATACGAAATGGAATTATATTTTGATATTAAGAATAACCTCTTGGCTGCAATTAAACAAATTTTTGAAAAAAACATCAATGAAAACTAGGGTTTTACTATTTGGACATTTGGGTATGAGCGGAATAGATTCGTATCGTACGCCACACAACGAATTCTGTAATTCTCCATTTTATCGAGGGGCAAAAATGGAATTGTAGACCCCAAACGTGAAATTCTCGAACGCTGATGGAAGTAGAGGCTGCGTTTGTACGAAAGAATGGTTGACTCGAAGTTCTCAAACGCAAACGCCGCGTTTCCTTGAGCTGTCAAAAATTAAAATCTCTCTCACGGCCCAAATGACGTTTTCTGTCTCGCTAACGGCCGTTTCTGTTCGTAATTTCTCCGGTCGATCCCGAGCGACTTGGTCTGTGGTTATTCGTCTCATTTGCCTCGCTTTGATTCTCGTTAGGCATGTTATTTGTTTTTCCTCTGGATTCTGATCACATGGATTGTGCGTGGGCACCATGAGTTAGGGTTTATGGCTTCGATTCTGTCTTTTGTTTCGTTGTTGGATCTGATATGAAGTTGAATTCTATCTCTAAATGATTATGCAGAGTTTCTTGAGCTGATCTGAAATCGAATTTGCATGATTCTCTCCCTCTTATCCCTTGTGTTCTTCAACCGAAATTGATGACGCATTATGATTGATGTAATAGGAAGTTTGTGGTTTCGCGGATATCCCTATGCTCCTTAAGCATGGTGAAAGCAGTTGTTGGAGAAGAAACCCGACTCACTTCTGCAGAAGATCGTCTCTCTCGATCAGCTATCCCTTCTGAGGTTAGACTTACAACCACGCTGTGTGTATATTGGTATATTTTTGCTTCAACATGGTTAAGAATGTTAAGATGTGAATACGGAATTTGTAATTCAAAGCTCTGGTTGATGGTTGATTTTCTTTCTTGGTGTTTGGAAATGTGAAACAGGTGGGTCTTGTGATAGGGAAGCTTAGCTCTGCTTTAGATCGTGGTTTCGTGTTTGATTTGATCCCTACGCCTAACAATGATACCGGAGAGCCAGCATGCTCGGTTATGGATGCCAAAGACAACAGGAAGAAGTCATCCAGTTCAAAATCTCAGTCATCGGATACCTCTTCTCTATCAATTGATTCCGACTGGGTCGCTGAACATGCCCGACAGGTGTAATGCATGTGTATCTGGAACTTAGTATTTTCTGATTTGACATCATCCCGATTTTCTCTATTTGGAAATTTAATGTGGATTTGCTTTGTAATGTGTCTTCCTTTTCAGGTATCAAGAATGCTGTTAGGTGGTATGAAGGTGGTTGGTATTTATGTATGGGCGAGTGACAGCTCTTTTAAGAATTCAACTATGATGCTTTACCAGGTAACCTTGTGTGCGATTTAGTCTCATGCTGAAATTTTGGGGGACTTGCTCGATTGAAATCTTTGCGAATAGGCATGCCTTTGGTTGTCTTAACAATAAGAGTTTTGTTCTATCAGTCTTCCAGTTTTATAGTGTTTATATCTTTAAAGGGAGAAACAAACGACCTATTATATGGGTGTGTCGTTGCAGTATTTGGATTAAGTGAGAATTCTTTTGGAATAGAGATGTGTCATACCCCAATGGACCTATTATATGGGTGTTGTTGCAGTAATTGGGTTGAGTGGAATTATTTTGGTATAGGGAAGTATCAGAACTCTCACTGCATGTCCGTCTCATTGAAATGGATCCATTGTACCTTGTGAAACCTTTATCAGGCAATTAAGGGGGTTTCAGATGCAGTACGACATTTGGATCCTAGCTTGGATGAAGTTCTTCTGATTCACATATGTTACAGTCCAAGGAGGTAGTCTGCCTATGTAAAGAATTTAGTTCCTTATGAACCTGATTACTATTGGGTCAGAAGTATACTAAGGATGAGAACATGTTTGTAGGTGGAATTGCCGAAGCTGTTTGTTGGGCTCAAGTATTACCTCCAGTAACTTGCGACCTTGTGATTTTAAGCTGGGAAGGGTATTAAGTTCTCTGAAGAGGTTTAGGTGCATTTACAGCTTCAATTTGAGGTAATTATTGTTTATAGATTTGATTGATCATAAACCAACTGTATTTCTGTTTATTCATCAATATTTTTCATTTTTATTTCTCGCTTCTTTCAGTTGTTTCCTTCTCATGAAATTTTATTGTACTAGATCTCCTATCTGCTTCGGGGGTGAATCAGCTGCCCAAACATTTACTGACATTCTGCGTCAACAACTAGCAAATCATGCAAAAGATCTAAGGAGAGCAAATGCCTTGGTTGATGGAGACATGGTAAGGAAGGAGAAAATAAGTACAAGACTAATTTCTGCATTAATTGTTCATATATTGTGTGTTGGATCTGTAGGTTTAGAATAATATGTTCTTGAATATGCTGCCTGCTGAAGCTTCTACGCTAATCTCAGAACAGTAGTTTGAATTGGTCTTTACTCTCTAGGTTTTTATACCGGTTTGTGTAAACTTACTTGGTTGCAGCAAATGATCTTTCTTACTTACCAATCTGGAATTCGCATGGTATGATGCATCCTAGTTGATTGATACTAACTAAGCTATGTGGTTTAATCTTCTTTCTACGCACCAGATAGAATTTCCTTTCTGTGTTTTTTATTTTTATATATGTGCTGGTTTTTTCAAGAAAGTTCTCGTCATATTTGTTTGATTGTTGTTTGGACTGAAGGTGCAAAATGACGAACCGTGCAATACAGATGGTGAACATGAAGTGGAATTGTTATTCCCATTCATGAAAGATACTCTTGTTGAGGGTATGTCCTCTCTCTCTCGCTCTCGATCTAATTTAAAGCACAGATCAATCTGCTACTGATATGTTGAAATTATCACATCTAATATTAAGTTTGTACTCTGTGAAGCATTTAGTGGAAAGGACATTGCTGGAGTTCTCTGTGTCGCTGGTTCAATATGTTCTTATGCTTACTTAAATGCAAAAGAACCAATTTCTCAGGCTGTTGCTGATATAAAGGTGTGGTTTAACCCTCGAATATGAGCTAATGCATAAGATCTTTTACCCTAGAGCATGTGAAAACACTGACACTAAATTAACCACTCGGAGTGATTTGGCAAATTCCAACATTGTTTTAAATTATTACGCCTTCTCCGCCAACTAGCGAAATACCCTCTTTTCTTGGTTTCTTGCGAGTGGGAAACATTCATGTGCTTGAATGTTCTTTCAGGCTGATATCATAAGGAGTCTGCAAAGCAGGTTGGACATCATCTGCGATGAGGCAGAGGAGAATCTCTATCCAAATAACGGCTTAGACAAGGAAGAAGCTGCTAACGCACCTATTCCCAAACTCATCCCGAGTCCATCTACGTGAGTCAATAGCTACATTGCTAATCTGTCAATAGTTTATGTTGAACCCTATTGCTCACAACCATTGTTCAAGACTGACATTGTTTCGATCTTCATGTTTGCGGACAGAAAACCTTTCCGTCTTCCTCTTCCTAGGAGAGTCTTCGTCCCATGGCTTTCAGGCACGTTCCTCTGCGATTATCTTCAGCCATCCGAATCACTCGAGGTACGAAACGACATGATCATTAAGTAGAAATCTGAAATAGAAGATTTCCTCACTGCTTGACAAACCTCCGAGCAGGTTTTAAAAGAACGTTGTATCGAGTTGATTTCGATGGAAAACACACCCGAGACCTCGACGTTCTCGGAGGTAGAAACGGAAGCCCATTTGCTGATCTCGAAATCCTTCTGGGACGCGGTATCGCCCGCTACATCTGATGTAGCACCAAACTTCATCGTGGAAAGGAGTGGTGAAGGAACTCGGCATGAAGATGATGACCAGAGAACTGATAAAGCATCATCAAATCCTGCCATTGTGGTTGCGGTTTTGGTCCTCGTTCTCTCTGTCGTATTAGGATTAGTGTTTTATGGTTGGGAATAACATTTCCACATGTCTGATTGTTCATCCTGTTGAAAAGCTTTTCCTTTTTTCACAACCGTCCATTTGTCACATTCAATCTCAACCGTCGATTTCCAATTAAGATTTAAATGATTCAAATCTCAGCCATCGATTTCCAGGCTTTTGATCTCAACCGTCGATTACACGATTCAATCACAACTGCAAAAAAAAAGTCCTAATGTTACAAACCGTTGATTTCGTGAATTCAATCAGTACCGTCGAAATTACATATTAAATATTGACCGTTAATATCCAATATTTGATCGTGACCGTTAATTTTATAGATCCGATCTCAGCTGTCGATTCAATACATTCAGTCGCAACCATCGAGTCCTTACACCATGTATTCTTTTGATTCGATCCCAGTCGTCCATTACCCGTAGACGAATTGTCCATTCGTATAATTTAATCACAACTGTGCAATTCGCAAGCAGAACTTATTGGTCTTCTCACACATGCCTATAGGAGATTAGGAGTCCTTGTAGTTTAAAGCTACCAACGAAGTCTTGGTCTCCTCAGTCCTCACACATGCTGACTAAAGGACTCCTTATAGTTTATAATGTTCGATAACGATAATAGAGAAATATCGGAACTCAGTGGATAGGGTATGGAAACATGTAAATACTTCAGTCCAATCCCCAAAGCCAGAAAAAAAAAACATGGTTGCAAAAAAAAAAAAATTGCAAAATCTGGGCTAATGTTCTTTGATCCCTTTTCCACAACTTACACTATAGCATCCAGTATTTTGCAACAGTCATAATTTTCCTGATTGACGAAAAAGGAGCAATGTAATGATGCATGGTCTCGGAAATCTAACCTTGATTGCTATGATGGTGAAAGAAAAACCCCGAAATCATCTTCTCCTAACAGCGGAATTAGCTGCAGGCTGCTGCCCTTGAGACCCTCCTGCTTGTCCTTCCGCCATGTTCGCCGCTTGTGTTACAGCATTCATCACTATGAGCCCGAGCGGGATCAAGTACATCCACTGTCACGCAAATTGTTCCGCACCAATAAGATTATTGAGCAGACATTTTCAGGTTTTAAAAAAAAAACAGGAATGTTAAGTCTTGTTCACAACGACATCCACTATTGTTCTGTCTCGGATAAAAAAAAAATAGTGTTTACTCACGTATTTTGCCCAAAACGATCTCTCTGGCGGCTGTTCGGCTTCACCCTCCACTTTCTCACCACCTAAAATTTCCTCGGTGAATATTGGAGTTCTGCCGGAGTCAGAAAAGCACGAAGAGAGTTAGAATCTAACTGGGAGGTTGATGGAAAGAATGTAATAATACAATTACAACTTCACGAAGATTAAAGTAATAGATGCAAAAGAACAAGAAATGTCATTATACTACCTTGGTGCCTGCTCACTGCTTTTCAAAATCGTGTGGGAGTTGAATGACCATTTTGATGGCTGTTTTAAACAAAAGAATAAATGCGATTGCATGTTACAAAGTCGAATGAGCCATGGAATAAGCATTAACGAGAAACCCATGCTGTATTCCCTTCTGCATTTATAAAATCCAATGTTCTATTCCAAATTGTAGAATGTAGAGGCGTGAATACAAAACTCTGGGATTTAGCTAGAAAGACATATAACAGAACACTTTCAGATTAGTTCTTATGCTCAGAAACATCGGATAAAGAAAGACAATCCAACAGTTCTGAACTAAAAACATGCTGCAAAGGCAACCAAATTCCAGAAACAGTAGGTAACCAAGGAGATATTATGGCTCAGTTACACGAACAGAGTTTACAAGTTATCCATTTATCAGATCTACACTGGAAGGAGAAAAGGAAAGACCATAATTCATCGAACTTGTCAGCTCCAGAAATAAAACAATTATTACATAGAAATGTTGACTTACAAGTTTCAACAGTCGCGGATATGGGCATGCTCCAGGAGAACCATAATTGACTGCCAATATGTTGACACCGTCCTGCAGTTGTTAGAACGGTACAACAGAAATGAATCAACTCGCATGTCCTAAATTTCTCAGTTAACAGAAAGTATGGACAAACATCTGCTCTCAAAAGAGCTGATGACTAAAACGGAAAGAAATACCGTGTGTATGACGAAATGCTCATCCAAACCATCCCGTGGAAGACATCTCTGTAACAAAAAAGCAATGTTTGAGAAAAGAATAAGGTTACGAAGAAAAAGGAAGGGAAGAAGAAAAGAAAGGAATAGCAGTAGAAATATACAGGAGATTATAATAAAAAGCAAGCAACTAGGTTTAGGTGGCAAAGAGTTTAGATTGTTTATGGTTGGAAAAATGATTACTGCATTTCATTGTACTCAATTAGAGAAGCAAAACCTTTCATCTCAAAAAGGCACAGAGTACATGGGTTAGAATTTACTGACAGCAGAAACCAAATGTCTGACAGCTATTGTAACAAACTAGAAAAGCAAAAGCAAACTATCAATGGCAAGAAAGAACGAGCAGAATGACAAAAACACAAATTGTGTAAAGGTTTTCTTGAACTTACAGCTCTCACTGATGCGATCACATACTCTCTTCCAGGTGAACTCAACACATTAGATGGAAGTCTTATTCTATAGAAGTCGTCTCCTTTCAGCAGATTCTAACAATTGAAGCAGCAAAAGCTTTAAAATTCTCTTCGCCAGAGAAAACAGATAAAGCAACAAGATTGACGAAAACAAATAGTGAATTACATTAAATTTATCTTTGTCCTCATCAGAAAGACCATTCCTTGAGAACCTCAACTTTGTTAACGTCTGCATAGAATAAGAATAAGGTTAATCAATTATAAGTTCAACTGGGAAGCTATTTTATCACTCACTCGTGACTAGAAACATATCAGAGAAAAGACGATTACTTCCTATTTGCTTGAAGCGAGATACAATTAGTTCGCTTCCCAATGATAGAAAAATCATCAAAATCTATGATAATGAACAACTAACAGATCCATTAGCATCCATGTACTGCTCCATCTAACTTCATGCTGGTGATTCTGTTTAGGCACTGCAAATTTCCTTCTTTTTTTTTCCACGGAACTAAACACTAGTGATTCCTTCATCACATTTACAGCTTCATCCCAACAAGCCATGTCCCAACACTTGCACTGTAAACTAAGACCTTGAGACATTTTCCCCCCCACGAAATTAATTTAAAAAAAAAACTACAACATCAACTCGAACTATACGATTAATATCCAAATATCAAAGTAATTGTTTAAAAAAAAGCAATTCAGGGGCGAACATACAAAGAGAAAAGAAGATCGAGAGAAAAAGCAAAACCTGTCCGCCATGGCTCCAGGTCTTGAGACGAGCGGAGAAAGTGCCGGCGGGAGAGAAATCAGAGTCGCCGAAAGCATGTTCGAGAGTGAATTGGATCTTGGAATCCAAATCTGAATCGGAAAACTTCTTCCGAGTGGTCGGAGTCTGCTGCGGCGAAGTGGTATGGAGGGGTTCGGCGGAGCGAGGTTTGTTTCCTTCGAGACCAAACTCTTCATCGTCGAGAAGAAGTTCATCTGATTGAAAAGCAATGGAAACAGAGAAGAGGAACCAACAGAGGAGGAAGATTACGGAGAGCTTCGCCATTGTTGACGTCTCTCTTAGATCGGGAAGAACAGCAGTAGCAGTAGACCTGCGGATCCAACAACACGGGCGTTCTGAGCTTTTGATCGAATTTTGTTTTGCAGATACGAAGGAATCGTGACGCCCTTTGTTTTTTAAAATTGCAATTGGCTCCTCATAGTTTTAGAATAATTACTAATTGACCCTTTATTTTAACATTTGTTTTCTCATCCTTTGACGGAGTCGGCTTCCTAATTGGACCCACCGGGGCGCCCACTTACCTGTGGGCCTGTGCACTGCCTGCATGACGCTTCCGTACCCTGTTCGATTCATAACCGGTTCGGTTAAAATTCAAACTATTCAGTTCGGAGAAAAATAAAACCTAAACAAAACTAATCGAATTTGAGTCAAAGATTCCAATTTCGTTGAATTTTGGGAATTATAACGTTGTACCGATTTTAAAAACTCAACCTAAGTCAATTTGGTTAGAGAGATCTAAACCAATCCGGTTTGGTTAGGATTCGAGTTCGTATGTGTTCTCCTTGGCTTACATGCCGATTTCAATTTGATTAATATCGATAAAAACTGGAAATTAAAACAAAACAAAATTAAAATTTAGAATGAAATGAAACAAGAGATTAAATTCCTAGATACTTTAATTACCAGACATTCAATATCATAAAATACTTTACACAAGCAAACAAGTGCTTGTAAAGAAGAGTGTTGTAAAAAGGCAGAATACATGAAACATACCAAAGAGTAAGGTCCCCCGAAGAAGAAGAGTGGTGGCCGAGGACACTACTACTACTCGTTAGCTCGCCTTCGCAGCTCGTTCAACTCTTTCTCGATCTCGGCGTCCTGGAACGGTGGCAATCGTGTGCTCGCTGCCACCGCACTTCTCCCGGGAGGAAGCTCTCCTTTCTGCTCGTTCCGTAAAACAGTTGGGGCTTAACTATGAATCTCCTCTGGTTTTTTAGGACATAGAATGATGCCCCCTATCTATATTCTTGTTAGTAGCCGGTACTTGACCGAGTACCTGATCGATCTTTTCGGTATTTGTAGTGATAAATCCGATTCATGATCCACATATTATCCGTCTTTGATTTCGAATGCAGAAATTCTACTGAATGCAAGATGTCTAGTTCAAGCATGAGGATTTTACATGTTATAGTAATCACGTACCTTTGAGCTGCCGGAAAGTTCTTTCTTCAAGTTGGCAAGATCATCATCCACAGAAGAGGTTTCCAACATTTGAAACTGCATATTCACCGCCAAAAAAAAAACAAAAAAAACGTAAACAAGGGCAAGATTAACGTCCAAGTAGAAAGTCTGGCAGAGAGCACAGAACCAACCTTTCCCTCGAGTTCATCGGTCGATAGTTGATTAAGAGCATCTGCTTCAGACTCCATAGCCATCACTGCCAAGCAATATAAAATTTCAGCCTTTAGAAACATAATATTAACCATGGAACCAAAAAAAAAAAAAATCTAATGCCAGTCTTTAGATTTTTCTCTCGAATTTACACTCTTAACATTAGTCTTTAGACTACCTAACAGATTTACAAAAAGAATCAAATCTTACCGTCGTGATGATCAAGCAAATACTAAACCCTTTCTCAAACACAATTGAAGTTTAAGATCGGCTATAGAAAATTAAAAAGAAAAACAAGAGACAGCAAACAGACTGCTAGGAGTAACCAAAAAACACACAACTTTCCTTTCCCACGCCTACGCCAAAAACCGCACTACGCTTTTCCTCCCACAGAATTTGCGCACATTAGATCAAACGTTCTATACAAGATCCCTAAGATACTGGTATTACATCCCCATGATTGCCCTGAATCTATGCCAAATGAAAACTCATTTCATGTACTAGTCTAAATTAAATAGAAAAAGGAACATCTGATCATGCAATTCAACATTATCTCGACTAAATATACTGTCAACAATTATCTCTATTAAATATAGGTGCACCTCTAAATGTAAATAATGAAAGCAAAAAGTAATCTGTATTGATAATGGAAGATGGTTGTGTTAAGAATATTTGCTATATTCAGAATATCCAGGAGTCTCACCTTTCTCCTCCATTTTCTCGAAAGCTGAGAGAGCGCCACTTGTGTTCACTGTTCCAATCATCTCTTGCACTTTGGTGGCAGTCCTAGTAGCAATTTTACAAATAAATAAATAAATTGAGAGATTTATTTCAATGGAGACATAGGAAGTAACACAAACGATGTTTCCCATAAAAGATGCAAAAGGGGATGAGGGAACTGATACAGACTTAGCTGTCCGAGCACGTGCAAGGAGAGTATCTTTCTTTGCTTTTGCTTCCTGTATCTTGCTTTCCAATAGCTGCAAAAAAGGGAGGAGATCATCACTTTCCATCGGAAACTCAACTTTCTAAGAACCAATGCTCTACCAAGCAACCTAGATTCCAGAAAAAAAAATGTCATCTGACATTAAAGGGAGGAAGTAAGAAATATTCTTCTAGATTAAGTTCACACTCAGCTAAACAGACATCCAAAATGAGTCAAGGCAAACTTATTATATGAAACATAAACGGCGGTATTAATAGGTGGTACTAATACATAATTTTGGTCTCTATCTCTAAGTCGTTCTTCCTTAGAGTGACATGAAAAAAAGCATGACTTCATAGTATGCTTTCTTTTCTTCCTTTTACAATGAATCCTACCATAAATTCAATAAATCAAAGCACTAAAGAAGACTGCAGCATATAATTAGACAAGATATAGGGGCAAAAAATGGTGACAACTGACCCGTGTATTTGAAACAAGATTGTCGACAACACCTTTTTGTTGATCTAGCTGAGCTTTCAGAGCACTAGCATTATCCTGTTAATATCAAGAGTAAAATGGTAAATAACTGCAAAACCCGAAGATATAAAGCAGTCGGGGTTCTTTTATAATGAAAATGTATCACCTGATAAAATACACGAATTACTTCTAAAGGTTATGCAAAATTTAAAAAAAAAAATCCGCAAAAGAAACATGTGGATGGTTGCTAAAAGAACATCGCATCAAAGATAACTCCACAATTGTGCCGATATTGAAGCCGCAAAAACAAGGTCAGTGACAATGAGATATTCAGAAACAAATTGCCAAGCTCAATTGCCAGTGAAAAACTGTTTAATAGACAAGACCGCCATTTTCTTCGGAATATTTGAGGCTGGATAGGGAAGTCTTGAGTAGCTAATAGTAGAATTAGACAATTTAATTTCCATTATGCCCTTTCCTTTCTCAAGTTTGTCAAAAACCTGGTATTCCAACCTCATAGGGCTCAAACTGTAATAGCCCAGGCCACTTTTAATCTTTTATAGCATCCATTAATTTGCTTGTTATTATGATCCAATTCAAGAAACAGAGAATCTGGAAAGGAAAAGAAAGGATTAATAAAACCTACGGCATAAGACTTTCTTCGTTTAAGGGCTTCACGCGCAAGATCCTCATCTCCTTTAGCAAGAGCAAGTTGTGCCCGTTTGTACCTTATTTAAGGGGAAAAAGTCCAAAAATGAATCAGTCAAGAAAAAAAATTAACTGAAAGAGGATTTATGCAAACAATAGGCTCACCAATCTTCAGAGGCTTGCTGGGCAGCTTTATATTTGTTTTCCAACTGCTTTTGGGATGCTAAAACCTTCAGAGACAATGTTAAAACCAAGGTCAGCTTCTTGTCAACCTTTTATCATGCACAACATAAAACTTAAAAAAAATTGAAGTCTCTGGCAAAAGGGCAAGTCATGAACATGTGTACAGCTAAAGAAGAAAACTGTCATACTATGACAAGGATGAAGCTTGTTCAAATATTAAGAGGAGGAAAAGAACCTACCTGTGCAGTGGCTTGACGCATCTTTATCAAATCATTATTCATTTCGATGACAGTTTGTTCAAGGATCTTCTCTGGGTCTTCAAAGGAGCTTATGAGTGCATTTGCATATGACTTCGCTTGTTCAAAAGAAGAAAAGAAGACAAAAGAGCAGAACGGGGTTCGATAAATAAGCTCCACAGTATACAAATTTAGAGGAAATGAATTGACTCAACTCAACTGCAAAGCAATAGAATCTACAGGCATAAATGTGATTATAAATACCTTGACTACTCTAGAAAATCGTTCAAAAAGATTCATTCTAGAACCAAGGGCGCCCGTGCCATGACCATTGCACCTCAGTCTATTAGAACAAGCTAATCTGAGCTCATTAACTCGCAAAGATCCCCCTATCAAAAAGGAGATAAAATTGATAACGTTATCGAACAAAAAATACCAAATCATCACAGTGTGCACGAAACAATAATTTGCCAAGTGTGACAGTGAGAACTGAAAGGGGCATAGTGACTTCAACCCAGAAACATAACTACAATCTGAACTGACAAGTGCACCAGGGCTTGAACTTGCCACCAAAAGAACTATAACCAATGCACGCACATGAGTACCAAGAGAGAATTATGAAGACTTCTACATTAATTATCGAACTCAACTTGAAACTACATGCACAAACATATACAGGGAAGAGATAGATTGCAAGTAAGAATGAAACTTATTATGCATTACAACTTGATTCCCCATAGCAGGATATAGCCACAGAGGGACAAAGTTGATGCCGCAGTTTTTTTAAGCATATGGACCAAACCCACGCCGCCACGCGTAATCACAGACAACCCTTTTGAAGTACCCTCCATTTCCCTCTTTTCCATTCCAAAATCAAGTTGGTAGAGACATTGATCACATGAAGAGAACATGTGTAAACTCCACTGCAAGGTATATCAAACTCTACTAGCACAGCTTCAATGTGGAGAATGAGAATATTGTCCAATTTCACAGGGCGGGTATGCAAGGGAAATTAGTGAAACATCAATAGCTTGATTCGACGTCTCTATTCACGATCACACTAAACAAACAAAATCAAGCTAGTTTACTACTTTCCGAGCAACCAAACACGAGCAAACGAATCCAACGAGGGGAAAAAAGGCAAAATCCGAGGCAATCTGAGAAGACCCACCATAGTTTCCGAGGAATGATGATTTGAGGGGCAAAACCCTGAGAGCACAGGGCCGATTGGAAGTCGAAGGAGACGACGAAGAAGCGGAAGGTCGGAGAGAAGGAAATAGCCCAGCGATTGGTGGAGCTTTCAAGGCCATTTCAATGGCAGAAACGAAGAGGATAAAGGAATTCTGGAGTAACGGGAAGATTCGTTTGTAAACGGGTCTTGTTCTTCTTCGTTCCGTTTGCTTCTGTAGCTTTGCTTGGGGGATGTTTGTGGTGTCGGGGGCAAGACGATGGTATTGCGATTTTTATATTTATTTTCCCCATTTCCTTTGTTTTTGTTTTTAAAAAACTTTATTTCACATTTTATTTTGTTTATAGTATGGTTTTGTCCACTGAATTTAGGTCGCAGTTAAATAAGTAAAATTTAAAAGGAAATTCAATATTGTTACACACAATAATTTTTTACTAATTCTCCGAACTATAAGATCATGATTTTCTGATGGTTTAATTTTCTCTTTTTATAGTATGTTTTCAGAATGAATTTCAATTCTATGGTTTAATATTAATATTTATAAGGTGACATATTTTTCATCTTAATATTACAAATAGGGAAAGAGGAGTTAAGCTTATTAAACCGTTCTATTTTTCAGTTATTTTATGTTTTTTTGGTAACTTTATTTTAATTTTTTTTTTTGGTAACTAGTTATTTTTATGTTGGTTTAGATAGAGGTCACATCCAATTTTATTTTATTTTAAAGAACATATCCATTCACCTTTTATATTAAAATGATGTGTTATTCGGTTGAGATGATTTCAATATATATATATATATATATAGAAATAGAACCACAAATCTTAATGTTAGTATATATATTTTAGTTTATCTATATGTTGATGCAATTTTTTTTATGAATTCTGTAATAAAATTTTAATCTTCAACTCAATTTCATTTTGTTTATATTTTAAATATGTTTAGGTTTTAAAAAACTATAAATGTATTAGTCATGAATTTAATTTATTAAAAATACTATTTTTAAATAATTTCCTTTCTAATATGATTATCTATACATTTCATTCGAGTTAAATCGATTCCAATTTAAAGTATATTGTATTAATTTTTAAATTAATTGAAATTCAAATATATCATGTATATTATCTAAAAATTACATCATTTGGCATTTCACTAAAGAACAAGGAATAATACTATAATTTACAAAATAAAATCCAAAATTATTATATAAAAAGATAGATGGAGTCACATGGTTTTGGCCTTCTTGTTCACGTTTATGCACTTACTCTGCAATATCAGTTTCCCTTATTAGGAGTTGGAATTATGGTGATAATAAAATTGTTATTATTATTATTTTATTTTTTACAAAATACGAAATTTTGCCATGTTATTCTATGTCTATTAAGTAATAACTTCGTTTTTTTATATTTGATAGCACCATGAATATTAAAATTTTTATGTTTTATCTTGACATAAAGATATCTCTATGGTACCTGAATTAATGTTTGGATCTGAAAATTTTAAAATTTGTGATTTTATTTGGATTTTGTATTATTATTATTATTATTATTATATTATATTATCGAAGGGAAGGAACAGGGGAAACGTGAAGAAGAGAAAAATGCCAGCGAGGAAAGCCCAATTTCAGCTAATTAATAAATTAAATTAAATAAATTCGATTTAATCTTTTTTTAGGCTAATTTAATTAATAAATAATTTTCTAAATTCCTATTTTCCAATAAGAATGTGTCGTTCACCGTTGAAAACGCGTTTCTTATATGTTTCTTTCTTCTCTGTATCTTTCTTATTCTTTCGTTACGTGGGGTTGCGTTGTCTGAAGATCAATACAACCAAACAAAGCAAACCAACAAAAGTAAGAAATTCAACAGGTTTCAATTCGTTCTTGTGGTTCACGGCGGACACGGCGGACGTCGGCGGCGGAGATGGATCTGAGTAGGCGGACGAGGACTTGGCCGTGCCTTGCTGCGGCTGTTTTCATGGCGGCGATCCAATTCGCCTCGGCGAACTTCGTGTTCGAGGTGCAGCACAAGTTCGCCGGCAGGGAGAAGAAGTTGGCCGACCTCAAAGCACATGACGGTCGCCGTCACGCTCGAATCCTCACGGCCTTTGACCTCCCTCTCGGCGGCGACAGCCGCGCTGATTCCGCCGGGTTTTGTTCTCAATCTGCTCTTTTTTATGTGTATACATGTGTATATCCGTGTGTGTATATGTTTTGCTGCTAATCTCTGTGTTTTGAACGCGGATAGTTTGGATTTAGATTGAATTCAAAGTTTACATTGATGATTTTATTGGATCGGAATGCGATTATGATGAAGGTGCGGGCTTGGTGTAATTTTCGTTCCGGGGATTTGTGGTGTCATATGTGAATGCAAATCCTGTGAGCTCGTGAAAATGCATTGAGCAGAAGACAAGCTTGTCTTTTAGGTTCATTGTGGGTAAGCTTATGTAGTTTTTTTTGCTTGATTTGTTCAGACTGTACTTCACTAAAATCAAGCTCGGGACGCCGCCCAAGGAGTATTATGTTCAAGTGGATACAGGAAGTGATTTACTGTGGGTCAACTGCGCCCCCTGTTCCAAATGTCCATTGAAAACAGATTTGGGTGTATGATTCTTTTACCCTTGTTTCTAAAAAAACTTCTAGTTTTGGATCCGGAGACATGGAATCCTTTGAAATCTTAGCTGTGCGTTTGTTTGGCATGCAGATACCGTTGTCATTGTATGATTCAAAAGCTTCCTCAACATCTAAGAAGGTTGGCTGTGAAGACGATTTTTGTGCTTTTATTAGGCAATCAGACAGTTGCCAATCTAATGTGGCATGTAGTTATCATGTCGTTTATGGGGACGGTAGCACAAGTGATGGAGATTTTATGAGGGACAATTTAACACTGGATCAAGTGACTGGAAATTTGCAAACTACACCTTTGGCAAACCAAGTGGTATTCGGGTGAGTATAATATGAACTTCCTTCTTTTTTGCTATCTTACTGTTCAGGGATGTTGTTTGCTTGTATTGGTAGTGGTGACTCATTTGATTTTCCATGCGTCTTTGAGTTTTTCTTTTCAACATCAGATTTGAAACATTTTGGTTCTTGTACCAGAAATTGTTGCCATGTTTCTTTACCTGGTCATCTCATGTTTCTGCTAGAATGCGTGAGTATTGGTCTTGACATATGTGGAGACATTCGTTTTTCGCTTTCATTTCTTTTTTCTCCAAATGCCATGATGACAAGATCTCCTTTTTGAGGCAGGTGCGGGAGTAATCAGTCTGGGCAGCTTGGGCAGACAGATTCAGCTGTTGATGGCATAATGGGTTTTGGACAATCCAATACCTCTGTCATTTCCCAACTATCTTCTGCTGGGGTTGTGAAAAGAATTTTTTCACATTGCTTGGACAATGTCAACGGAGGTGGGATTTTCGCCATTGGGGAAGTGGAATCTCCTAAACTGACCACAACTCCTATGGTACCTAATCAGTACGTGATGCCGTCTTAAGTTGTTCTTCTCTTAATTAAGAAATTAGAGTGGGAGTGCTTGCCGGTATCTGATCATCTTTAAATGACCTCTGTGCTCTGCCTCTGTCTCTGTGTTGCTTCTTGTGGAAGTATTATTGCGTCATGTGACGTTTCATCCTTATTAAGAATAGGTCTTTTGCTAGTGTAGTTTTCTGTTGCAATCTGATACATGTCTGTTGGCTCTGCTGAAATGATCTCAGCATCGATACACTAACTGGTAAATGACATGTTGGTTAGAACACGTTATGTCCCCTTATTTTTGTCAGGGATCTCAGGTGCATCTAAAGGTTTAGGCTTTCATTCCTATCAAGCGTGCATTTCAAGCCATGAACCTTGTGATAACATGGTTCGTTTTACAAATTCAGGATGCACTACAATGTTAATTTGAAGGGAATAGATGTTGACGGTAGTGCCGTTGACCTTCCATCAAGTCTCTCTAGTTTTGGTGGAAATGGAGGAACTATAATTGACAGTGGTACAACTTTAGCATACCTTCCGCAGTCTCTTTTCGAGTCACTAATGACTAAGGTAATATTATTTTCTCAAAGTATTGTCTCTTTCTAGTTTGTGTATCTCAATCCTGACATTATGTTTGCGGTGTGTAGATTCTTGCTCGACAACCCGGACTTAAACTACACATCGTGCAGGAAACTTTTAACTGTTTCCGTTTCACGTCAAAGTATGATGACCCTTCTCTAGTCTCTGGCTTTTATTTCGGAACCATGCTTTTTTTTTTCTATGCCCATTAATGGCTGATTTCCTTCAAGCCTTCCGGCAATTTTCTATCTATTTTGTTTTGGGTGAAATGTCTCAGTGCCTTCTCTGCTTTTGCATAAGCATGCTTGCATCATGAGCTGTATTTTTAAAGTCAAATTATCTCCAGCCTCGGATTCTTGCATAAGTAACTTATCAAGGAGTAGTAGCAAAGCTTGAACTTTTGGGTCAGAATTAGTGTATATGTGCTCTAAATTCTTCTTCATTTTTACCTGCAGCCCAGATGAAGGGTTCCCGCCTGTCAATTTTCATTTCGAGGACTCGCTCAAACTGATTGTTTATGCCCACGATTATATTTTCTCGCTTCGTGTAAGTTAATCGGCATGTCATGTGTCTTTCATTGAAAAGAGTCTGAATTTCCATCAAGATTTATCGTGTATCTGATTTTACCCGTTCTCACACAGTGAAAGGTTTTATTCAGGGAGATCTTGCTTGTGTAAACATTTTATTTCACACCATTGCGCCAAGTCTATAGCAGAATTCTATGGTCGAACAAATTTTCCTCTCATTTTTTTTCCTCTTTGTTCTAAACAGGAAGATATGTACTGCTTCGGTTGGCAGTCCGGTGGAATGCAGACTCAGGACGGTTCTGATGTAATCCTCTTAGGAGGTATAGTTCGAAACTCTTAAACAACTATGCTTTTTTAATATCTCCATCTTGATCGTTTTTTCGATGATACCCGAAGATACATATAGTATTAAATTTACTACCAAAGTTTGGTGGATTCTCACGCTAATTCTCGTTGTAGATTTGGTGCTTTCGAACAAGTTAGTAACATACGACCTTGAGAACGAGGTCATTGGATGGACAGAATACAACTGTAAGTGTCTAAGAACAGCGAGAGAACTCAGTCGTATCATTCTTCAGAACAAATGTCGAAAATCCGATGAAGAAAATACCAAAACTGTATATATTTTTGTGTGTGTGCGCGTAGGTTCATCGAGCATCAAAGTGAAAGATGGTTCAGGGTCTCACTCCGTTGGAGCACATGACCTCTCCCCGTCTTCCTCTTCTTGGACGGTGCCGAAGCTTCTAACGTTTTTGTCGACAATGCTAATTGTCATGTCGAATTTTTTGGCATTGTAGCTCTGTCTCAAGTAAAGAACATCGAACTCGATTGTATTATTCGTTTTATTCTTGCGGTTTTTATACACTTTGGTTACATTTTGCATAGAAAAAAAAAATTGGCACCATTATTTCATTGTTCTCTTGAAGATCAATCTATACCCATTGTTCAGTTTAAAAAAAATGTTATTTTTCTAAGATTTGGTAGTGAATTTTGATGACTAAACCAAGTAAAGATTTGAGTTTGGGAGAACCCTTTTGGATTTCATTTGATCTCTCTTTACTTTGTTATCCATTTTGGTAACTTACTCTGAATTTTGATTCTGTTTTCAACATTTGTCTTAAGATTTAGTCCTTTTTTTTAAATGCTATCCTTGCATTTAGAAAATGAATTTTTAAGTACATTTTGTATTCGATTCAAATTAAAAAAATTAATTTAACAAAAAATTATACCTCATTCTTAAAAATCATTTTTATTTTATGGGTATAATACATAAAAAAAACTTGGAGAAAAAGATGATATGGTTGTACCAAATCAGAATTGTTTTTTCCATTATTCAAACTCAACTTTCTTCATTACTAAAAACATTGTAAAAGAAACTAAACCTCATAAACATTACTCAAGAGTTTATACTTACCAAAAATTATCTACAGGCTTATTTTATTTACAAAGAGAATCTGCATAGATTTCTTCTGCTTCATGAAACACTAACATAGCTGCGACTAATCCAATTAAGTGTAGCAAAAGTTACCGTCTTTGCTGACAAAAAAGCATGGGGCACAAAGTGGACTTAATCTCTTTTCACTTCTCATAGAGTCTACCTCAAAGTCTCCTCTGTAATTATCTATCTCGGGAGATTCACGAGTGTATTGACTCTCGAGACGCCTTCGAGGGTAGACCAGTCAGTTCCCGAGTCCGAGGTTGATGCAGTCTCGGGAGTAAGCAACGTTTCTTGCTCGCTTTCTTCTGATGTAACGACTTCCTTGTCGTTTTTGCCTGATTCAGACCCACCTTTGTTGATGTCTTTGTCATCTGATGATGAGGAAGCTGTTGATAATTTGTTTGGTTCCGAGTCCAGGAAGAGGCAGACCACTGCGCAGTCGTCGACCTTTGAAGTCGGAAACTTCCATTTCCATGTTCGGACTGCGGCCTCAACCACGGCTCGGCCTGCTGAGGAACGAGTTGGGGCCGCAGCTACAATCTCCACGACCTCTTCATTGGACAGAGCATCCCAAATCTAGCAATATATCATCAAGAGAAAGAATGAATCTTAACCAAAATTTCCTTTCTTCATCTTTACCCTAAAATCAGTTGTGGATGTGATGTAGAAGTCCTTATAAATGATTTTTCAGTGCTTTTCACTGAAAATACGAGATAATGTTTGGGATCAGATGGAATTTTTCTTACCCCATCAGTAGCCAGGACAACAAACTCATCCTTTTCGGTGAGGTGTCGATGGGAAACCTCAGGCACTGAGATTAGACCAAAGTCTTTGAGGCAAAAATCTCCAAAGGCACGTGCCATGGCAAGACCAGGTGAATTATGATTCGGCAGCCATAGACGGGCAACCCCTGGTTCATCCTCGTGAGCAAATACACGCCCTCTGCATTTCCTTATTCTCTCTGCCTCGGCTGAGTTGTAGGACAAAACACAAAGAAACTTGACATATATCAGAAACTGTAGCTAGTTCCTTAAGATGGTAAATAGAATGAAAACAGGCTCCAAAAGCAACACAGGGAAGGAAGGATGGGAAAATAGATTACCAGGAACATCAGGTTTGAGATCCACAGTTAACTGAATGGCAACAAGAGTGTTATCGTCATTCCTCATTCCTAATACAGCTCTTGAATCCCCGATATTCCCGACAACAAGATGTTGACCCTACTTGAACGAACAAAATCATAAAGAATCAAGCCGAATGCAGAGATACATAACAAAAGTCAGGAACCAAAACTTTATGGACCAAAATACCTGCTTGACTAAGGTTACTGCAGTCGTCCCACTGCAGAAACAATCAACATCCCTTTGCATCTTCAGTTCCCTGTCCATGAATTTGAAGGCTTTAAGAAGTGTGGCTTTTAATGATTGAAGCATATCCGGGCACTTCTCGAGATCCTGAATCGAAACCCGGTTTTCTCCACCACCAGCAAGGTCTTCTGAATTCTTGCTATCAGCAGTATTGAGGTTGATCTCTTTAAGGACATCCTCAAGGGACACATAGGCCTCCAAGAGAGAGCTTAATTTGAGCGGAAGCAAATCCCTCACTCTCTTTGCAACAATGTGACCATAGGGTCCATGGCCATCAAAGACACCACAAAAAACCGTGTCTGGAATAGATCCAAAATTCTGAACATTTAAAAGTGAATCGAAATGAGCACAAGAGATAACAGGAAAGGAAAGAGCTACACGAAAAGTTTGGGTCATTAAGCGAATACAGTATGCAGCTTAAGTTTAAGTGACGACTACAAGAAAGCTATGCCTATAGGTGAGAATCAAATTAGAAGATGAATTCCTATACAGGAGATGATTAATCAGCTCGGCTATCTGACATGAATCTAAAGAAGTAAAAGTGAATCTTGAGTTCCCTGAAACAGTAAGAAAATGAGCTTCCGTAAGGAAAAATATATCAATAAAGAATCAAGTGTCAAAGCTATCTGAAAGTAAGGAGATATTCAGTGGGAACTTGTAATAGCAATGCAAGATCCAGGAAACTTGGAGAAACAACAGAGGCAAGTTCATCATCGAACTATAGCAGCAACTTGAACATACTTCAATGATATTCATCAACCCATGTGTTTCATCATTTCTCAGGACAATAACCGAAAACAAGAAGCATATAACAAACTGACCTCCCAGAAAATCATGGCGTCCTGATTGAGACCTTTCTTGCCCTGCTGAGAGAAAAGGCAAGCAGCGTCCATCGATCCATTCAAGAACATTCTTCCCGGGATCCTGTGGAGCGACAACTCATCCCCGTTAAAATCGAAGGAAGAACTCTGAGACCTCGATCTCCTCTTGGAGCTCCTCCTCCGCCTGACACCGCCACCAGGGCCAGGAACTCGAGGGGAAGAACCATGGAGGGATCTCCTGCTGCAGCTGCTTCCTGCTCGGGTGAGTATAATATGAACTTCCTTCTTTTTTGCTATCTTACTGTTCAGGGATGTTGTTTGCTTGTATTGGTAGTGGTGACTCATTTGATTTTCCATGCGTCTTTGAGTTTTTCTTTTCAACATCAGATTTGAAACATTTTGGTTCTTGTACCAGAAATTGTTGCCATGTTTCTTTACCCTGAGGGCCCTGATTACGTCTAGCAAACACTCCAGCCCACTCGTGCAATCAGAATTTCGGCTTTCACGTGATTGATCCGTCTTATAGGAATGGTGAGAATCCTCCGAAACCCTTTTCAATCTGAAGCCTTGACTCAACGCCAGGGTTGTCGACGAACACGAACACTGATCGATAGTTGAGAAAAATCCCTGCTTTGTCCCAATTCTTAATCCAATACGATCAAATCAAAACGCTTAGTCCTCTAAAACGGCTATTCCGATCATCAGACCAACCAATAAGTCCTCCATAGCTCTCAAACTGAATAAGAAGAAGAAGACTAAAACGTAAGAAAATTTGCAAAAGCGGAAAAGAATCGGACAAGACAAGAGCTCTCGAGCTCAAGCACAGTCCTCCTAGGAATCGGAAAACAACATCGACATATCCATAATCTTATCTGGGGGAAGCGAATCGCCACCTATTATCTACAATAGAACGAGATTACCGGGTCGATAAAATGCCCGATGAATAGAGAGATCGCAGAGGAAGAAGCGGATCGGAGAAGAAATTCACTGAAGCAGAGAAGTCCCCAGAATCGGATTTCGAGGAACAACCTCAACCTCCAGCGACAATCCCGCTCCCGTTATCCCTCTCTCTTCCCTCTCTCTCTTGGAGCATTTTTATATATATTAATTTAATATCACACATTTTTTATTTATTTTTATTTTTCGTAATTATCCAATCAATTCATCAATAAAACAAAATACTTTCGATTATGTTATTTTTTGTGACTAATAACTAAGTGGCATTTGATATAGTGTGGCCAGCCATCTAATTGGGCCAACACTTAGGAACACAATGTAGTTGACAAATACGACACGACTATAATCTAATTAAGTTGGGTTACAAAACGACAAAAAAATATATTAAATATTAGAATAGATGTTGTAACGTTTTCCTCTCTTTCAACCCTCACTAAAGCCTTTCTTATTATTTTTTAAATAAAGTATCAACCCAATTCATATTCCCATTTACTAAATTTCATTTGCTAGAGATTCGAATATGCGACTTTAGATTTCACAATTTCATATTCCGTAGACAGAGAGACTCGAATTACCGATGAACCAAATTCGTCTTTCTAGACACATCAACATGGCCTTAATCCCAAATTTTTTTATACAAAATTGAAAAAAAAGCTTTAGAGAGGATAGAGTCGGTCCCATGGTAAATGGTTTTTTATTTTTAAATATATGAAAAAACTGAATTATAAATCTTAAAATAAATTATAAAAAAAATGAAGCAAAAGAGAGAGTTGCGAAACAGGACAAAGTTCAATCAAACAGGCAAAGACAGATCGTGTGACTTTAGAGGGGGAACTTATTCCAGACAGAAGCTACAAAAACTCGCAATCATGGAAAATCACTAAAACAGAACAGAAATGGCTTTAAGATTGTGAATCTCTCACTCCTCCTCTTCTGCTTCCTCCAGCCAATTCACAAACGGCTCAAGGCCTTTCACAAATGCTTGCCTGTATCAAAAAACCCATATTAAGTTTGTTTTTTTTACTTACACTAACATTCCCGTCTGATCTGACCTGATGATTACTGTTATATACAATAAGAATTGGCATATGCTTACACTACCTGCCCTTGGGGTTGGTCCCTTTACGGAACCAGTGGAGGATGGTGTCCTCGGCCAGCACATCCAGCTCATAGAGAGACCTCACCACCTCGGGGAAGAGTTTCATGAGCTTAGCGTCCTCGTAGCATTGCATTTGGACTTTGTACATGAGCTCCAGCTGCAGCTTCCCGCTCGTGCAGAATGTGTTCAGCAGCGGCGCCCACGTTTTCACCTACTTAACCATCAAAATCAAATCGATCCTTCTTCTTTCCTTATACCACTAGAAATCCTAATAGAGCTTGTGAATACAAAAAACAAAAAAACAAATTACCTGGCGCAGAACAGAATTAGCATTTTGCTGCTGGTTTTTCCCAGACCATTGAACAGCATCCATTAAAACATCCCAAAGAACACGCGCAACCTCGATCTCTGGCAGGTTCCCGTCTTTGACCTGCTGCTTCACTGCTTCAATGACGTCATCGACATCAGTTTCATCAGAGATCTGGCTTGTGAGAACAGTTTTTATCTCCTTCAGTTTCACCTCAAATATTTTCTTTCCATTGTACTCTACCAGAGCTGTCAATCCAGCCTTACTAAAAAAACAAAACACATCATGCTTCAGGTGTCAGGTCCAAGGACAAACAAAAGAAAATACAATATAAGCAGCAGAAGAAAATACAGTACAAGTAAAAATGTATAAATGTATAAGGGAAATAGTTTGCCAAACATGGAGCCTGGCAACAACAATGGAAAACCTTTTTTCATAATCATGCATTTCATAATGGATGCAGTTAAGCAGAATAGTTTACAACCTTATATTATATGTGTTTAGACTTATTGACATCAGACCAATGTCATCAATTCATTGTACTCAATCATATGATGACAAGACAAATGCGCATCAAAGAAACGCTAGAGTAATGGAAGACGCTGACACATATAAGGAGGCCACCAAATCATATCGCAAGACACTAACTTCAAGAAAGGGAAACTAAGAGTAACTCACGTGAAATGCTCGGCGAAACTTTCAGCAGATCGCTTTGTGGGTGGTAAGAAATCCATAAGGTTATCTTCCATTTTGCCTCGCTTTAGAATTGAGATCAAGTCATCAAGACTATTCTCAACCAAATACTCCTTGAAGAAGTCTGTTATGAAAGAAAGCACTAGCCCTTTGGCAATAAGATTATCCTTGAGCAACGGCTGGAAGACTGTCTCCGGGGGTAGCCCAGAAAGTCTTTGGGAAAATGCAAGTGCTGTGAAAATTGCCAGCTTCTTCCTTTCATCTTCCTCGAAAAGCTCCAGCGATTGTAAGAATCTCCGCATAACATTTTCAAGATTCTTTATGAGAAAGGGCCTCCGCCGCAAAATTTTCTGTATATAGACAACAGATTGTAAAATGGCTTCTCTCTTGGGTTCACCGTCGAATACAGAGTGATGATGACGTTCCCCCTCTTCAGGTTTTATTGTTCCAGGTTGTGTACGCCCTCCAGTGAAAACAACCTTAAAAGACACAAGAACCCTCAGTCACAAACAAAGTAATAAGGCAGAACAAAGCAATTGGCTGCAATCACTCGGTACAGAAACATTAAAATCAAAAATCCCCAGAAATAAAATGAGATTTATAAATCCACAAGATCTTTGACCAGCATAATAGTGAGGCGTACCTATTATCTACAACAGTAATTGCACTTCGTTATTGGCGTAAGCCACATTTTACAGGGTGAGGGGGATGATATTACAGTAAATAGACCCAACCCGCAAGAGCAATATGCATCTTGGTTCTAAGCAGGGTAAACACAATGCAAATCATAATAAAGGACCTAAGCATTAATAGAATGTCAGAGGAGGCAAACTCTGAAATGTTCTATGGGAAATTACCTCAAAGAAGATGTCACCGTATCTTGAGAAATTAAGGTCTGTCGACTCGATACTCTTGGCAACAAGTTCCTACCAAAAATAAACAAGTGCTACAAGTTATTTGCAGGCAGACATCTAAACAACCAATAAGAATAGCAAACCGGTTACACAAACACAAGAAGTACCAGATCACCAGCATTATCCAGATAGATCTGGACCACTGCATCCGAAAACGCTGCAGGGTCCAGAGGAGCAGCAATATTCCTTTTGCGGGTCTTAATCCGCGTACCTCTGCATTAAAGATGAACAATATATTAATATGGATAGCTTCCAAACAAATGTGTTATGCATCTCAAGACAAGAACAACAGATAATGAATCTCAAGACAGAGAACAGACTAAAACTAGAAGGTTTCTGTTTGCATTTTTTATCTAAACATAAGATTTACTTCCATTAACACAAAGAATAACATAAATTGAAAGCTCAAATACAGAACTTCTCCATGGTAACAGCAAGATCAAGCTTTCCGACGATGCTACAGTACAGTGTTCTTTCTGTCATTTTCAAGCTCTTTTCTAAAGTTCTACTGCCGATATAATGGCAATATCAAGAATGCATGTAAGACCATTTAATGAGTATAAGCTGTATGACTTACCCGAGAGTGGGTTTCTCCTTCGAGCTGCAGGACAAGAGAACCAACGTAGATTAGATTAGAATGCCGTAAAAGGTAACAAGTAAACAGGAATTAACCAAAAACAAACGACCAAGAACAAACGCAAAATAGGGAAACAATCACAGAGAAACTCAACGGGAAAAGGGTTTGCCGCAGAACGGGAAAAAAAAGTCTCTTCTTTTATCCAAAAAACAGAAACCCTAATAATCAAACGCAGGTTTTCGAGAAGAAATGCAATCCAAGATTTTCTAATCCTACCAAAGAATAAGAACAGGGGCATAGAAAACGTCTGACAATACAGAACTTTCAATTTTCCAAGGTGAGATCGAGATTCTCGCATACCCGTCCCGAATTCTCAAGAGCCCTAACCATCAGATACCAAAAAACGATCAAACCGGCCAACGAATAACCAAGAAACGAAATCTCAAGCCGCGAAAACACAAACAAAAGACAGATCGTTTCCTCGAGACGACTGAAGGCAAAAAAAAAAAAGAATCTTGATCGACCAACAAACTGCGAAGAACAGATCTGCCACAATCGAATCCTACCTCATAAACCAAGATGAAGAAGGGTCAAAGAAGAGATGAGAGAGTCAGGGAGCTTGTAGGCGCAGAGAGGAGTGAGAATCGTGTAACGAGGGGTGTAAAGAGAGTAACGAGGGAGGAGATGAATAATAAAAGCTCAGCTTTTTCAGTACAAAAGCAGAGATGGAGAGAGAAAGGGACAAGTTAAATGACGAAGCTAACCTTTTGATATTTTTATTTCCATTGATGACTGAAAAATATCTCTGTCATAAATGATTTATTTTATCAATAAAAAATCGAAACGATTTTGACCCAAATTGAATATAACCGAACGAAATCAAGACAATCGTATAACCGAACACAACCGTATGAAAACCCAAATAAGCAACCACTACGACTAAGACGTTTTAATTGGTATATATCATATAATTATCTTCAAACAAAAATTTATTCAAAATAAGTTACATATAATTTGTTCAAAATTTAATTTAATACAAAAATGGATTAAAAAATATCGTTTTTAAATGATATTTGTCTGAAAATTGAATATAAAATTTAGTGAATATAAATTTAGGAAATTCGAATATAGAAATAACGATTTGAAATAAGTAGAGTATTGAATAATATGGAAAAAGTTTTGGTGGTACGTAAATTTCTATAAATTAAGGACGACCAACATCGCGAGTTAGCATTGGTGGATGGCCCATTTATTTAAATGGGCCTAAGCCCATTTACAATACCGACGTTGGTTCTCGCCTTCATTATTTACCTTTTTCACATGTTGCATAATTTTACCGCTGGTAATTTTGAAAAGTTACCAGACAACTTCATGCGTTCCAAATCATCAAATCACACTTTAATCTGGTTTTTAAAAAAATCAAATTTTATTCAATTTCGACTTTAGACCGATCCATAATTAATTAGATTTTTCTAAACCTAACTGATATCTCAAATCTAAATTAAAACTCGTTTAATCTTAAAGTTTTATTTATAATTTTAATATATTAGTCAATTTTATCCACACTAATGGTAGTTTATAATTCGATAACTATATATCAGTACGCATCGTTTTCTTTGAAAACTATAAAATTTTAGATAAACTATTTACTCAATACCTAACTCATCAAATCAAATATTCGGCATGTTTTTTTTTTCTCTTGCTAGAATTATACATCGTTTTCTTGTATATATTATCATATTCTTTTTTTTTCGTTGTTGACAGTTTAAATTTAAAAAAAAAAAACGTTTCTCATAAAATTATTTCATGTAGTGAGAAAATGCATTGTCTTATTAATAAAATTAATATTTTGTTATATAAGTAACTAAAGTATTGTGTCAATTCATCCATGAAGTGATGTCACAATGACTGAGCAGCAACCATATAACACATATGAATATTCCCAACAATGCCCATTTCTTCCCTATTTTAAAACGTGGCGAAATACCAAATTTAAAATAAACAAAATTGAACGCTAAGTTGACTTTTGGGTTTAATTGCGTATAGAATGACGCATCAAAGCAACAAAATAATATATAAATTAGGGTAAATTATTTTTTCCCTTCTAAAACCTAATATATATTTGTTTTTGAAATTTTATACAAATACATATTAAGATACTTATCTAATTATAAAAAAATAAAAATAAAAAGACAAAGAATCAGTTTGACTTAACTCACAACACTTTAATATTATTATTCGGTTTTCCCACTTGTATATTGCACCCTACTCATGTCATGCTCATGGTTGAAAAGAATTCTAGATCCAACAAACCAAAATTATGCAACACGTAAATTAGTTCACTCACTTTTCCTACACGAGAACCATGAAATTAAACCAAACATTAATTACACATTTGTTCATTTTAGTCGTTAATTATGTAAAACCAGTCATTAAGATAAGCTGAATATTTAGTTATTTATTAGGTATATAAAAAGTTGCAATTATTACAAAATTAATATTTAATGAGAAAAATATTAGTGGATCACCGCCAATTCCATCATATTTCACCATTGAGGCGGATGCATGTATATGAACAAAAAATTGATTAATCACAAAACCTCTCTCGTATTAATATAGAGAAAGATTTATCCTCGATCTACGGTTTTTTTTTATAATCCGAAAATTTACCAGAATTTTAATCCGACTATATCTCTCATAGAAATAGAAAAACTCGAATATTTTTTTCCACGTTTAGGTTTGAATCCAGGGTGAGATCATGTTTTGTATATTTTCTCACCATTAGGTCACTCAAACTTTGGTTTCACGATCTAGAGTTACACAAATATAACAATTTATATTGCATAATTTTGGGAAATAAAAGTTTTAATTACAAAACCTAATAAGGCTAACGATATGATTATATAATGTATAATTATGACGAGAGAGTGAGGGTGATACCTTGATCTGATCTTTTATTGTCCCACTGCATGTGCATGATGTGTCTCTCGACCACATCCTAGGATTTCACAAGATACATGTTAAAGTCGTCCTTCACCAATCAATTCGGGAATATAACAATATTAAAAATAATATAATAATTTATTTCAGCATTTTTTAAAGCATTTTATATGGTAGATATGGATGAGATATTTAAACCCGCATCTTATCTCAAATATTTATGTTCGGATGTCATGATATATTAATATGAATTTTATAAAAAAATAAATGTAATTTTATAAATTTTGATAATTTTACAAGTATATGGGATAATGGTAAGAACATCGGTAATTTCGGGCGACCATAATATTTTATTTGGTGGCGCAATAGTATTTGGCCCGACATCATTAAATAATTTTAATTTTCACGTGCTATATAGACCAACTTGTAAAGAAAATGTCTATATAACGGTCCTAATCTTAGCAAGAGAAAAAAAAAACACGAGACCCGAAAAAAAATGGAGGGTTACACTGAAACAATATTCTACTCGTCTCTCTCTCTCATCTTCATCATTCTCTCTCTCAAGCTCTACCTCTCCTCAAAACCCAAACTGAATCTACCACTGTCACCGCCAGGACGTTTCCCCGTGATCGGTCACCTCCGCCTCCTCAAACCGCCAATCCACCGCACACTCCGCCGCCTCTCCGCCGCATCGACCTCCGGAGTGATCTCCCTCCGCCTCGGTTCCCGCCTCGTCTACGTTGTCTCCTCTTACTCCATGGCCGCGGAGGAGTGTTTCACGAAGAACGACATCGTTCTGGCGAATCGGCCTCCGCTCCTCATCGGGAAATACGTTGGGTACAACAACACGAATCTGATCGCAGCCGCGTACGGCGATCACTGGCGAAATCTCCGGCGCATCTGCGCCATAGAGATATTCTCCGGCCACCGTCTCAGCTCCTTCCTCTCCGTCCGTACCGATGAGGTACGCCGCCTCGTCATCCGCCTCTCCCGTGCTGCTTCAGGTAAGAACGGGTATATATTCACACACAAACGCACACACACTTTACCGAATCTCTCATATTAAAATTAATTTCTTCTAGGAACCGAGAAGGCGGTAGTGGAAATGAGACCGATGTTCGTAGATTTGACATTCAACAACATAATGAGAATGATCACCGGGAAACGGTACTACGGCGAGGAGGAGGAGGAGGTAGATGAGGAGGAGAGGAAGCGGGTGCGGCGGATGGTGGCGGAGGTGGGGACGAACACGAGCTCCGGAAACGCCGTGGATTACATGCCGATTATGAGATGGTTTTCGGACTATGAGAAACGGATGAAAAAATTGGGGGAAAAAACAGACGAGTTCTTGCAGAGCCTGGTTGATGAGAAGCGGAGAGAGGGTGAAAGAGGGAACACCATGATCGATCGCATGCTTTCTTTGCAAGATTCAGATCCTGAGTATTACACGGATCAGCTCATCAAAGGACTCGTACTGGTTCGTTCTTTTTTCTTTTTTACATAATAAATTAAAGTAAAAAAGTATTATTTTTTCATTTGATTACTTTTTTTTAAAGTTTTAGAAAATTATATTTATTAAATTTCATATCATATTTATGTTTTTTTTTCGATTCAATTTTATTAGAAAATAATCATTTCTAAAAGATATAGTCTTCATTAGATTTTATATGTTTTTATATTCTATTTAATTTCAATTAATTTATTTATAGAATTCGAACTTGGGGTTAGTCTATCTTACGGTCAACCAAATTTCGAAAAGTGTGTATATATATTATATTGATTGAATAAAATGGCTTGGTTCAGTGTATCTATGCCCTAAAGATATAAAAATGTAAATAACATGATTTTCTCCTTGGTCCGCGTGCAGATAATGGTAATGGCTGGGACCAACACCACCGCCGTCAGTTTAGAATGGGCCCTCTCGAATCTGCTAAACCATCCGCACGTAATAACCAAAGCAAGAACCGAAATCGATAACCAAGTCGGTTTAGACCGGTTAATCGAAGAAGCCGATATTCCCAATCTACCGTACCTCCAAAGCATCGTCCTGGAGACACTCCGGCTACACCCAGCAGCTCCGTTACTGGTCGCGCACATGGCCTCGGAGGACTGCAAAGTGGGGCCATACGACATGCCACGCGGCACAACGTTACTGGTGAATGCGTGGGCCATACACAGAGATCCCAAGCTGTGGGAAGATCCAGATAGTTTTAAACCGGAGCGGTTCGAGACGGGGGGAGAAGAAGCATCGAAGTTGATAATGACGTTTGGGATGGGGAGAAGGGCTTGCCCCGGGTCGGGTCTGGCTCAAAAGGTACTGAGTTTGGCGATTGGGTCGTTGATTCAATGCTTTGAGTGGGAGAGAGCGGGAGGAGGAGAAGAAGTGGACATGGAAGAAGGAACTGGAAACACTGTGCCTAAAGCCACGCCCTTGCAAGCAGTTTGTAAAGTTCGTCCTTTTGTTCACAAGATCTTCTCCGATTCTTCTTGATTTTGTTTTTCGTTGGGTTGAAGGTATGAATAAAGGGGTGAAATCCCATTAGAGTTTGTATAGGGGAAGTGGATATATGATGGAAGGTGTGATGAAGTTGAACAAGTGGTGTACATCAGTTAAGGTTCTGTTATACAAAGGCTATATATCATTAGGTTGTGTTCCATCTCTATTCGGGTTTTGTTTTATCGTTCTTCTTCCTTGTCACGTGTCTCTCACGTTACGACGGAACCACCTCATAAGCTGGCGAAACCCAACATTTTCTCGAGAAAATTCTAGAGATACCAACCGGGGAAAAGGAGTGAATGCAAGAAAAAGAAAGGAATTTCCCGCTGCAACTGTCGGATTGGCAGTTTTCAGAATTTTAGAGAGAAACTGCAGGAAATCGGAAACCAAATACCTGAAGAGACAGAGAAAATGATAGCTTTGTAAGGTCTTCCAGCATCTTCCATCAATGTTTCTTCTGTAACCAAAACCTTGAGTATTCAATCAACAAGAAGGTAAGTGCCTGATCTGGTGGCAGATGCTGGAAGGCCATACAAAGCTATCAATGTTCGATCACCGTTTAGTGATCCTTCCTTTCTTCACGCTATTTCTGACTGTCTATATGAAAAAAGTCTTCTCCTTTGGTACCAAAGTAGCGTGAGAAAAAAAATTCGTCCGGTGAATTTTCAGATTATAACAAAAAAAAAAAGATACGTCACTTTTAGATTGATTCAAATACAAAATTTGGCATAAATACATATAAAAAAAGTAAAAAATAAAAGCATATCTATATCTTTTCCGTTGATGAGTTTCTTTTCTAACCGGATCTTGATCTTGTAATGGGAGCTTTGTCCATTGTCCCTTCGACGGCAGATAGCAGCATGGGCAAAGAGTTCTTGCCTCAAAAGACCAATCCTTCATCGTACTACATGAGTATAAATACGAAGGATATAAAAATAAATATCATTTTATTTAAGATTGAATAGTTTAATCATTAAATAAAAGAATAAAATTCTTTAAAGTCCTCACTTAAGAAGAGATATTCACATGGACTTATCCAATTTCTTTCGGAGGATGTAGTCGGGACAAAGATCTAATAAAATTTCGAATTATCAAAAAAAATATATCATTTTGAAAATGCTTGATAAATCTTGGGAAACCGGTGCACGAAACTGTACAAAGAAAAGCCAGGGCGTTAAAATGGAAATTTGTGAAAATTTACGGGCCATTAGTATATTACAGTATCATAATGTTTTTACCGTTGTATGCCACGTGTCTAGCTTAGGTTGGATACTCCATGATATGAGTAGCGTCGGCGAAGTCACAGAGACTCGGAAGCATAAGCGAAATCCATGGAGGTTAACGTCCTCCGATCTATCTCCGGCCTCAGCGCCTCTCTCTCCGACACGCTTCCACGACGAACGAAACTCTCTCTTCTTCGTGTATCCCTTCCTCTCTCTTCTCCATTTCTCGTATCTTCTTATTCTTCTGCTTCTTTGTCTTCTTCGTCTTCCCGTCGTCTTACTCCGCCCAGTAAGCTCTGCTCTTTCTTCGTCGATTCTTACTACTTCGATGCAGTTTTGGGTGTTTGATTGACTTTTTACTTTTACCCTTTTAGGGTTCGCTTTTGATTGTTTGTAAGGCTTAAATTTTTAGTTCATCTTTATGGTTCTGAGGTGGGTGGTGATTGTACCTTGCCATTGGGTTTTAGCTAATCTCCTTGAAGAAGGGTTTAGAAGATGGATTTATGGTCGCGTCTATGTTTATGCGAATTCTGCTGTCTTTTTCAGTTTTATTCGCTGCACAGGAGAGTCATCTGAGCGTACCGCCTGATAATGATACGAGAGAATGGGTAATGCAAGGTACGTCTTTGTCCATTGATTATATTGTTCGTTTATTTCTTTCTTCATTTGGGTTCTGCTACTATAAAGTTGGTTTTGGTTTACTTGGTGTTATGATGGCCTGGGAATGGCGTAGCTTTAAGTACAGTGGAAGTTTATGTGGTTATTTTCTTTTGGTTGGTTGTATAAGAAGTGTGATTACCATTGCTGGGCAGATTTTTATACACTAAGGAAGGATGTAGAAACTGCATCTGCACGTGTTGAAGAGATTAGGGCGTCTGTGGGTCTGCAGAAACTGGAACAAGAACTCGAAGACTTGGAGTCGAAGGCATCTGATAGTTCTTTTTGGGATGACCGGGCTAAAGCTCAAGAGACTCTTTTGGCCTTGACCGATATTAAAGATAAGATACGGCTTCTCTCTGAGTTCAAATCAAAAGTATGTACCTTTTCTCCATTCTCGGCAGCGTTTGACTCTACTCTATCTCTTCTATCTTATTTTCAGAATTTTTGAACTGTGTTTGCTCTTTGATGGCCTCTTCC